GCGATGATGGATCTGAAAGCCCAACGTCGTTCAACCGTATTAAGTCTTGGTTTTGGACGACAGTGAGTGTTGCGGAGAGTGCAGCCTCGGTGTCTGCCAGCCGCTTCTCAAGAGCAGTGATGTATGCGGCTGGAAGACCTCGCTTACCACCCTCTTGATAGTGGCATGGCAGCGATGATGTCTGGCATTGAGAACAGCATGGGCTGTGTTGGTTAGATGAAGTTCTGCAGCTGGCATGCGGATTACCCACAGCTTCCGATCGCACTTGCACTTCTTCGATCTGCAATTCTCGCATGCAATGGCGTTCAGCTGAACCTCCAGATCGCAATGTCAGTGTATTTACCACAGTGCTGGACGAATTCGCGCACCGCTTCAGTCATAGTGGGATGACGATGGAAAGTGTTGGAGTTTGAGGAGGCTGGAGCTATCCGGAAGGTGTGGCTTGGTGATCTGTGCGCCACGAGGGGCAGGCGCGTCAAGCCCTTCACGTCATCTCTCCGACGCGACAGCATCTACTTCAGAGTTTGAAACGGCATACATTACGAAGAGCAATGCTGCTGAGCAAAATGCGCATCGTGGATTGGTGTAAGCTCCTGTTGAGACCCGCCTGCGAATCGATTGCCGTTGCGGCACTACCGCACAATGTTTTCCGCCTGAAGAATGCCCGGATTTTTGGCCCGCCAGTCCAGCCTCTTTCGCACTTTGTCGCCCAGATCAGTCGAGAAGTTGGCGACACTGTGCGAAAGAACTTGTGGAGGGGCAGGAGAATTTCCCCCGCATTCAACCTTACCTGTTGTACCACGGACCGCGCCATACACGGCTAGTGCTGAGGTCCATGTCGGGCATCGGGTCATTTGAGTCCAGCCCTGCATACACATCCACGGACCTGAGTACACGGTTTTGATATTGAAGCTGACGGTATTGAGTAAGGCAGACTATCATAACACGGCATTTATCCGCACGGCAGAGAGAATTAGCCTCATATTTCCAGGTATGGAGCAATGAGACTTGGTGGTGGTTGTATCGTCGCAAGACAGGCATTCGTATTTCCTTTGATCAACGGTCATGCTTCATGATGAAGGATGCGTCAACCGTACCACCGGGCACAAACCCCGCAAAGCCAAGAAGAAAGCGAGGCAGATCCAGCATCCCTTTGTCGGTTCGACGGTTTCTTGAACCGGTGAAGTGCTTGGCTTCGAGTATGTAAGTTGAGGAAGTGCCATCCTGACGCTACACTGAGTACCTATTTCAACCGGAAAAATCATGGCACCAGCAGTTGCAGGCCCTGGCGACGGTATCATCGAGCGCCTCGTCGCCGCCGATACGGTACGATGGTGGAACAAGCCAAACCTCCGACGTCTCTACCTATTATTGGTACCTTTCTGCTTCTTCATTGAGTCTACTTCTGGATTTGATAGCTCCATGATGAATGGAAGTAAGTAGATACTACTACGGAGTTCCTTGAGATGTGATACTGATCAAGTATGACGCTTTCAGTGCAAGCTCTTCACTACTGGCAAGAATACTTCAATCATCCAAAAGGAGGCCAACTCGGATTGCTTGTCGCCTGCTACAACCTCGGCGCTATATCGAGTATTCCGTTCGTTTCCATCGTGTCTGATCATCTTGGGAGGCGGAAGAGTATCGTCTTGGGGTCCACGATTATGATCATCGGAGCAGTAATGCAGGGCTTGTCGCAGAACCGTGAGTACCTTCAGCATGCTTATCGCATTCAGAGATTCTCGCAACTGACATACATGTAGTTGCAATGTTCATCTTCAGTCGAATCTTTCTTGGCCATGGTATTGTCTATGCCATCATCTCCGGTGCAGCTCTTCTCGGTGAACTAGGTCATCCCAAAGAGCGACAGTTCTTAGGTAGTCTCTTCAACGCATTCTTTGGAGTAGGCTCAGTTCTCGGAGCGGGTATAGGTGAGCAATTTCCCTCCATGAAAGGTAGATGAATGCATACTAATCTCGGCCCCGATGTATAGTCGTGCGTACGCTGCTCATCCCAAGCGATTGGTCTTGGCGCCTCCCCTCTATCCTCCAAGCAGGCCCTTCTGTTATCCAGATCATCTTTGCTTTCACGGTCCCGGAAAGCCCTCGATGGCTGGTTTCGAAAGATCGCAGCGAAGAAGCTCTTGAGATCTTGATCAAGTACCATGCGGAAGGCGATGCATCGGCTGAGCTACCTCACCTTGAGATTGCCGAGATCAGGAAAGCCCTGGAGTTGGAGAACGAATCGCGACAACGTGGCTGGGCCGAGCTCTTTCAATCCAAAGGCATGCGACACCGTGCTCTTGTCGCCGCCGGCCTTGGCATCTTCGTCCAGTACAGCGGCAACAACCTCATCAGCCAATACCTTGTGCCTATCCTGGAAAAGATCGGCATTGAAGATAGTCATACCCAAGTGCGCTACAACGTCGGATCAGAAGCATGGGGCTTCCTCATGGCGCTTGTCATGGCAACTGTCACACCCCGATACCCACGTCGCAGGATGTATCTGCTGTGTGCGAGTTGCTTATTGTGCGTGTATACCGCCTGGACCATTGCTCAGGCTCGTAATCGCCAGACTGGATCTAAAGAGACAGGCTATGCGGTTCTGGTCATGATCTTTCTCTACAAGCCCGCCTACAACATCGCCTACAATGCCCTCACATATGTCTACATGGTCGAAATCTTCCCCTACTACGTCCGAACCAAGGGTCTCTCATGGTTTCAACTCTTCAATCGTTGCTCCGTCATGCTTGGATCCTTCACCAATCCCATCGGACTGGAAGACCTTGACTGGAAGTTCCTCTTCGTATACATCGCTTTGCTGTGTTGCGAGATTGTGTTCATCTACTTCTTGTTCCCGGAAACTTACGGAAAAACATTAGAAGAGCTTACTTTCTTGTTTGAAAGTGAAAAGGATGATGCCGATGCGCTTGCTGCAACCACCGCCAAGGTCATGGGTCAGGATAGCAACGCCATCGAGCTTCATGAAGCGCCAGACAAGAAGGCCTAAGCCGCAAGTAAAGTGGTGGCTGGGACTGAGGTCGATGGATCTTGCAAATGACGTTGCATTTGGCGCTCACAAGGCGGGTTTTGAGGCCGCTTGGAAGTGAGCCGCATTCCTTCGAGCGGGTATGAAACGGTCGTGAATGAAAATAGTGGAGATGGAGATGCATAATTTGTGGCTGTTCAGCACAAGTCAGTATTGCTCGCGGTCGTCTCCGGTAATGAATCATAAACTAGTCCTCCCTTTCTCGGTGTAAGATTTTGCATCGCTCATTGTGGCTCGCAATGAACATTTCGGGGTTGTGCAATATTAATGAAGCCATGGCTGACATCAGCTCAACACCTTTGTAACGTTGCCCGTCTGCGCGTTCAACGTTCCGAAGTAGTATGCGGCGCAGCAACATATCAAACCAAAGCTTGCATACAACGCCTGAAGAGGCTGGAAATTGCGCGGATCTCCACTTCCATCCATAAGTTTGTTTGGACAACACAACGCACCAATGACTCGCTCTTCTATGCGACCATGACACCGATCAAGCGACAGCGGCTACAGAAGACAGATCTCCGACTGATCGGGACCTGTGGGGTATCTTCCGAACGAATGGGAATCTGGCGGCTTTGAAACAACAACAGATGGGCATAAGCTTGGCCAGTGAGGGTACGCAACGATCGCAATGCAGCCTTGATAGCCGCGACCCGGCAGACTGGATTTAGCGTACGCTGGTGTTAGTACACGTGTCAGTACTAGAGAACACCGAATCGCATGTTCAGTCTCAAGCCACCGTAGTATCAAGTCAGTAAGCGAAGTGTTGGATGTAGAGGGAGGGCTACCTAGGTAGCTAAGAGGTGTCAGACGGTGGTCCATCATAACACACCTGATATGCCTCGGCTACTCCAGAGGATGGCAGTTGTCAACTCCTGCTTATCACTGGGAGAAGCCGTCACGTGAAGCCTGCTTCATGCATGCATGCGTTGTTTGCTTTGCACCGAGATGCCAAATGCACGATAGACGCGACGTGGAATATTCGAAAAATAGACGCATGGCTAAATATTCCGCGGCGCTGATAGGTGGCTATTAATAAGTGGGGTTATCGGCCCCGCGCTTAACGATAGCGCGACCCCGCTATCTGAACCCCCAAAAATTCGTCGAAACATCCCGAGGCCGTCGTTCCCACCACCTCCACAACCACCCACGTCGCGCGAGTTCACGCGATACCTCCGAGGCTGGAACGCGACATCACCATTCGCTCACCGAGCGAAACCAACATGTTTCCCCAATCCCGCGCTCCTTACATTGGCTGCAGCGTCCGATGAGGCTCGAAGCGCTTATACGACTGTGCCTCGTTGATGCATCGTCATCGAAACGTGACCTCATGGAGGGGCCAAAAGCTAAGAATACGCCTAGCTGCATATGTTTTAATACCACAGCGGCAACGAAAGTACGCTAGCCTAGCCATGCGGCCATCCCAGCGGTTATACACATGCTCTGTACGGCTACACTCACAGCGGTGACCCGGCTTGACAGCTCCCGACGCCCGCGCCGCACGTAGGTGTCGTGGAAACGGCCTTCAGCCGCCTTTCTTGGCATGCTTTTCTGGAGGTTGGGTCTGGTCCTTGCGGCTAGCTCGTGCCGTGAATGGTGCGTTTGCTCGGTAATGCACCAGTTTCCAGAACGAAGGCATAGTTTGCATGTACGCCGCAGTAACAGTGCTGTTTGATGTTTCGAGCAGGCTCCAATCATGGAAATGGCTTGTGGAGGCTTATACTGCAGCTCGATGTTGTTATAGTATGGTGATAGACACCGATGGTAAGTACCTGGTATCAGTCTACTGCTTCTCTCCAGTCTGGCACTGCTCTACTATCTTGTACGAAGCAACACCTTTCCATCTTTCTCAACTATCTTCGTACCCTAATTCGTATTCACGTATTCTTTTAATGCCTTACCCGATATCCACATCCGGCTACTACCCCAACATGTCTCGTTCTCCACGTAGTCCCATGCGTTCGCCTGCTTTTCCTGATATCCCAATTTATCTGGATACCGGCGATGAACGCATGACAGCGAAGACATATGGCACAACACCTACGACCCCAACTACACCAGACATCATTCCTCCTCAACGCCCGACACACCTGAGCCCGTCACATATCAATGCGCCACCCATCAGCCCGGCCGAGCCGAGTCCTACAACCACTATCGAGACTTCTAGTTGTCGGTCAATAATCTGGCCAATTCCTGAGCCACCACCCGAGATTCAGCAGCAACAAGACTCACGTCGACCAACCCTTCGCTTCTTTCCTACACAACGCCCAAGAGTCCGCCTCGACAATGTTCACTCGCTCCAGATTCCACCACTTGACGAGAAGACACCCATCAGCGGTCTTCACCCGGGGCTTGGTATCATGAACGGGCCACCAAAGCCACCTTCTATTGAGATATCAGCACCAAAAGAAGAGGATATTGAAGAGGTCCCCAATATCGCCGAACGCATCGAGAAGCGACTATACCAATACAGCATCTCTGGTAACATCATCAAGAGATGGCTATTCGAACTCATCAGCTGGGCTTTTAGCGCTCTCTGTATGGCCGCCGTCATCGGTGTCCTTATCTCTTACAAGGATGACAAGCTCTCCAATTGGTCCTTGGCCGACAAGACTGGCTTGACTCTCAACGCGTACATCTCAATTCTTTCGAAAATGGCCGGTGCAGCCCTGATCCTTCCAGTATCCGAAGCTCTTGGTCAATTGAAGTGGAGCTGGTTCCAGCAGAACTCCAAACAAATGTGGGACTTCGAAATCTTCGACAATGCCTCTCGAGGACCGTGGGGCTCTCTTCTCTTGCTCATGCGTACTAAAGGCAAGGCACTCGCAGCACTTGGAGCTATGATAACGCTATGCATGATGGCTCTGGACCCCTTCTTCCAACAAGTCGTTAGCTTCCCCGACCGTTGGGCTTTGGAAAAAGAGCTTACAAGCAAGATACCAAAGACTGTGAGGTATGACCCTGGCGTCGGCATAGAATACCTAAACGGCGTCGAAAACATGTCGAATGACCCCGATCTATATCATCTCACGGAGAAGTTCGCGTACAGCAACGGGACGCAGCCTGTCCCTTATGCGAACGGCACCAGGCCTGATATCCCGCTGGTAAGTTTAGCCCGTCTTGTTCAATATCCCAGTGCTACCGACGCACTCGGTTGAAACATAAGTATGTCTTATGCTGCAAGCTTCAGTCTGCTGACATCTGGTACCAGTCTTGTCCCACTAGCAGATGTACTTGGCCACTATATGAGACCTTAGGGGTCTGTAGCCAGTGTGCGGATGTATCTAGTCACCTCACCTACGCCTGCCTCGAAACTACGGTAGACTGGACCCACGAGCTGCATGGAATATTCAACCTGCAGGAGCCTTACCCAAACGCAACCATGTGCGGCTACTTCCTTAACGCCACGAGCGATACACCAACAATGATGTCAGGTTATCTTTTCAACCCAAACGACTCCACCAAGGGCGAGGCGCTTCTCACTCGCATCCTACCCTTAACAACACTCGACACACGCGAACCTCTGTACGGAAATGGTTCCATCATGTTCAAGCACTTACGCAACACGCTTGCGGATGTGCTGATAGTATCAGCCGACGGAGGAACTCCGGATACGGTGTACCAGAATCGACGACCGCTTGCACAGGAGTGTGCTCTGTCATGGTGCGTGAAGACTATCAATTCTTCGTACGACATGGGTCAATACAGCGAAGAGGTCGTTGCGACATATCTCAACACTTCCTCAGGGTCTTTTCCGTTCGAGCAATTCCCCGCGCAAGACGAATTTGGCAACTACACCGACGTCTTCTACATGCAAGATATCAACATAGACAACGGCACGACTCCCGATGGACACAAGATCTCTGGATACGGAACTTCGAATCGTACCACTTCCTACATCATGACAGGGTTTGCCGACATCTTCCCATCGTACACCACGGTAGTCGATGAGTCTGCTGTGCCAATCTTGCGATACAAGACTTGGAGAACTGGGCCGGCTTGGAACAGGATGCTCGATTACAACCCCTGGCTTCAGCCGAATGTGTCAAAGCACATGGACAGGTTCGCAACCGCGATGACGAACGTAATTCGGTCCGCCCCGAGCAAGGAGATGGTTTCTGGAGAGGCGTTCAGCAGAGAGGCCTACGTTTCAGTTCGCTGGGAATGGCTTACACTGCCTATTGGCCTCTTGTTCATGAGTTTCATCTTTCTTTCTGCTACAATTTTCAAATCTGCCCTGGAGAAAGAGCAACTTGGCGTTTTGAAGAACTCCGCAATTCTGACTCTGTTATACGGCGTACCCGACAACATGAGGACACAACTCACTAGATCCTCGAGTAGGGGAACACCACGTGCCAAAGCCAAAGAGCTGAAGGTCAAGTTGAACCCCAACATGGGTTGGAGAGTATCAGGAAACCTCTTCTCTCCTCTCACTCCAAGGCCGCCACAACCTCCACCGGGCTGGATTTGAGGAGCAACAGATTTTATTAAAGAGAAATATGTTAGGGTAATACTACAAAGTCGACATGTCTGCAACAAAGAAATTACTTGCCTCCTTCGGGTTCTGTGAACTGAAACCTGCAGAACAGAACCAACTCAAGATAGGCTTTCAGGAACTTCCACCCCACCTCCCTGGTACGGCTTCGCGACGGCTGCTACCACCCCATCTGCCCGGCGCAGCATCGCGACGCACGCTACTACCACCGAATCTCGCTGGCTCGGCTTCACGGCGACTGCTGCCACCCCACCTCCCCGGAGCAGCATCGCGACGCACGCTACCACCACCGAATCTCGCTGGCTCAGCTTCACGGCGACTGCCACCACCCCATCTTGCTGGTTCAGCTTCGCGACGGCTGCTGCCACCCCATCTGCCCGGCGAGGCATCGCGACGAACGCCACCACTACCGAATCTCACTGGTTCAGCTTCACGACGACTGCTTCCGCCCCATCTACCTCGCGTCTCAATGGGCTTGGTCTCGATACCGGTGTCAACAACGCTTCGGCTAGTGCCACCCCATCTCCCTCGTTTGTCGATAACATCATGGAGTTCTTCGGGTTCAGCATCGCGTCGACTACTGCCGCTCCACCGTGTTCGTGCTTCGATCAAGGGTTCGATATGGCGACGAGGGCCAGCGAGTGTGAAGGTTGCCACATGCTTATCCTGAGAAGACAATAAGTCAGTCTGCCATAGGTCGGAACAAGTATCAGCGTTACTCACTTGTGTGGTCGGCAAGGGTGCAGCCAGAAGAGACAGAGCAAGAGACAGGATGACAAGAGCAAAGCGTGCATGCATCTTGCCGGAGATGTTGCAAGTTGCGTGGGCGGATTTGTTACGACGACAACCGAGTGCAGGTCAAGCTTGTATGGTTGTTGCTGTTGAAGAGTTTATGTCGACTGTTGATGCTGGGTTATCTTGCTGATGAAACACGGAGCATGGAGGGGGAAGGACAAGGCATTTATCCACAACAGCGATGCAAGACGACGACATCCGATAGAGCAGCATACGACAAGCTCATTTCCACCGTACGCCCACGGCGCTTCAGCCCGCTATCACCCTTCCAAGGTCTCGAAGATAACCGCCTTTGAAGCCACCCACGCGACGCAGGATGCATGGGATGAGCGCACATGCTGCCCATGCTATGCGGAGGTCGCACAGTCATTGGGGGAAGGCCTGGAGAGGCATAATCGTCGGGCTACACACCCGGCGACCTGAAACGCAAAATTCGCAATGACTGGAACACAAGGCGTTAGGCTGGACCTCGTAGATGCCCGGCAACGCGACGTGACGAATTCCAAGGTGCCTGGCAACTTCGTCACACGAGCTATCACACCCCAAGCGCTGGAAGGGCGTTCAGCGAGGCGATCTGTCAACATACGATTTCTGTAAGTCTGAATGTTTACCAGCATTTTCTGCTGCCCGCTTCATTGCTAGAACGATTTCTGACCAATCGAAAGGTTTTTTCGATGTGATGTGGCTTGGCGGCGTTTTGGACTTACCCCTGGGGTCGAAGCGATTGGCTCTACATCTTCTGTACCTTGCGCCATTGAACCGGCCTCGCGGCCGTATCACACCTCACCCGCACACGTGACGTCTACCGGCGTTACGCCTTCTGCGACTTTTCACGATTTCTGTAGATATTCAATAAAGTCTGATTCAAGAGAGAGAAAGCCACGTAAAAAGAAAGTGTTCTAGAGTGCTCTTCGTTCCGAAGCAGCATCCATCCATAATGCAACTGACACTGTGTAGCGACGCAGCCCAGCGAATTGCGATCGAATGCGCAGGGGATTGGTTTTTCTTGCGATTGTCGCAATGTCGGTTTTGCGACTGCCCAGGTGCGATGAAAGTCTGGGCAAAGCGCTGAATCGCTCATTGTAGTGAGCTACTAGATACGGGTAGTACACATCCAGGAACTTTGCGACTGTGTAAGGACATCAGACACTCGATTCATGCCTAGGTTGAGTAAACAAAGCAAGTTCCCGGAGGACGAGAAAGCGACGCAAGTCTTTGTGGCCAATAGCAAGTACTTGTTAGCCGCCCAGAGCCAGCATTGACGTCAAACCACTCACCCTGGCACTCTTCAGTAACCTTGGAAGGGTCTCGGCGCCACCTACCACACGCATTCAAACCTTATCGGAAATACCTAGGTACTGATGCTTTCGCCATGCCAGCTTCGCCAGGGCATGCGCCAACCCGGCACACTTTCACTTGCATCAAGACTATGCATGCAGCCAGATCACAACCCGGACGCCTCTCGCTCACCGATGCCTCATCTCATCTTGAACTCAGACAACACCGCTGCAGTAAGATATTCAGGCCAGCTCAAGATACAGGTACATTGAGCCTGTGCCTTTGTTTGCCGGCCTCCTTGCGACGGTCTATGGTGTTCTATGTGATCGTATCTTTGTTGAGAAGTCGCAACATTTCCATGATTGTTGATCAGACCGGCCGGCTAGACATCGCGACGTACTTTCCTCATGCGCTCACCCTAAAACGTGACATGCAACTTTGGAAGAACACGCGTCGAGGACTCTCAATTTGTAGTCTTGACCTTACAGCGACGGAAGTAGATCATCCCGAGCCCATGTTGAGTCTCAGGCATGGGATACTGTGGATGCAAACTGCGACTAAGCTGACGTTATTAGCTTTAGTACACATACTTGGGTATAGAGCATTGTAGCTCCGGGATGAGACTACCTAGGAGGTCTAATCTCTAAGTTACTAACAGTCAGAGAGCTGGGTATTCATGTCAAATGCCGTATGACTGAGACCGTCTGTTCAAGGTCACTGAATCTTCAAAGCTTCCAAGGTTGTGTACGAAGCGGCTTCCCATTGATTCTGCTCTCGCCTGCATAGTGGACTAACTGCATCTTGAACTTGCTCGCACTCTTCTAGGTATTAACGTCTGGATGTATGAGCCAAATATTGTTCAAAGTTCGACGTATAGAATAAGGGGTTCTTCTCATGGTCTGGGGATCGGTGACGTCATGGTTCTTCGCGTATGAGATGAGATGGCTAGTGCTGCGAGTGGCCGCCCCATCGCATCAGCTACGCCACGCGAGCGCGACCTTCCCACCCTCAACGACACACCAACCCCCACTTCACGAGTTATCTTCGAAGCACCCGCTTTGTCCGACAAAGGCACCGGGAGTATGCGAGATATTCAGCATCGCGCGCCGTACATCACGAGCTTGACCGCTGGACTCCGGACCCGTGCCGCAGCGCTAAACAGGAGTCGCTGTTCCTGCTGGCGCTAAACCATGGCTACCCAGAGGCTCAAGAGGCTGCTATCTGACAAGTCTCCATGCTGGTGCTGATAAGCTCGCGACCTGTAGCATCTGGAATAGCTGAGCGACTCATTGTCAAGTCGAGCTTTAGCCGCCCAATCTTTGTGGGAAAGCTTTAATCCCGAGCACACGATGTAGAACATCAGTCGAACTCCCTCCGAGCCCGTAAGAAACACAAGCCAGCGGCTGTCTCCACAATCGAAACCATAACGGGAAGCCATCCAAATGTCAGCCGTCGCCAGACTCGCACCGTCCTACATCCCCAACCCTCATAACAGGGACACCACTCCGCCTCCTTCGTACCGTGCGTCGACTCAACACAAGCCGTCGCTAGACTTATCGCAACGCTTCGAGAGGAAGCTCGCTGAATACAATGCATCTCAGAACATCCTAAAGCGCTGGTTATTTGAGATTGTCAGCTTAGCCATCAGCGCCATCTGCATGGTATGTAGTGCCCTCGACATACAAGGCATGGAGCATGTTCAGATCAGCACTGACAATTCGCTTTTAGGGCTTCATAATCGGCATATGCATCTACACAAAGGATCAGCCACTCCGCGACTGGCCACGAGCCTCGACCATCCAAAACGTACTATCCAAAATTGCCTCGGCCGCCCTTATACTCCCAATCTCGGAAGCCATAGGTCAGCTGAAATGGATTTGGTTTCACGGAAAGAAGTCTAAAGATGCTTTCGATTTTGAAATATTCGACAAAGCCTCTCGAGGTGCTTGGGGTTCGTTTATGCTACTTTGCCGCACGAAGGGCAGGTCGCTTGCTGCATTAGGCGCTCTTTTGACGGTCTTGTTACTCGCGGTTGATACTTTCTTCCAGCAGGTGACTGACCTTCAGGATCGTTGGAAGCTTCAGGGCAACAGCTCAATTCCGCGCAGTTTCCAATATACTCCTTCTGTGGTGCTTGCGTACGACAGCACTTGGGACAATACACCCGCGGCCATGATGAACGAAGACCTTCAAAAAGCCCTAGATCCGTTCTTCTATGACCAGAATGGGACGCATCCCTTCCTCACCGAGAACGGTCCCCAAGCCGAGATACCACTTGTGTGCCCAACCAGTAAATGTGAATGGCCAGCCTACCAGACTTTAGGGGTCTGCAGTGCTTGCGAGGACGTGTCGTATCTTCTTGAGTATGATTGCCTTGCTATGAGGATGGACTGGATCAGGAACTCCACTGGTCCCGGCACGGAGAATACGTATCCCAATGGTGAGTCAACCCTCCCGTCAACCACTATCAGTCTCGGCCATGCCAGGCCATGCTGTCGGCCGATCGTCTTCCAGCGATTTCTATCTAAACAGCACTAACGATTCGTCGGTTCAGGCACTGCTTGTGGATACTTTCTGAACGTGACGAGTATAGAACCGGTCCTTGTGTCTGGCTATCGGGTCGAGAACAATACAAACTCACCTTACGGAGAAACCCTGCTCATGCGCACGCTGCCTCTTGTCACAAACCCTCTCAGGCAGGCACTATACGGAGGGTCTATAAACTTCAAGAGCATCAACTATCCCATCCTGAACGCGCTCATTGTAAGCGCGGCAGACGGGTCTGCAGAAAGCGTATACCGCAAAGACCTCCCAGTTGCTCATGAATGTATGTTATCTTGGTGTGTCAAAACTCTTCGCTCCTCATATGCAGGAGGTGGTTACGAAGAGCAGGTGATCGAGACTTACACAAATACAACGCCGACCGACAACCCCTGGTTCAGTGAGCAATTGCCGAATGGTTCCACCGACCAGACCTTCGACGAGGACATCATAATAACAGTCCCATCAAACGACCGCAATCCGACCACTTTCGGCGTCTCCAATGAAACGTTCATGAGGACCGTCTTTGTTCTGGATGAGGTATTCCCCTCCCTAATCACTGTCTCGAACCCGTCAGCAGAGCCATATCTCAAGATCAAAACCAGCTTCACCGACCAGGTCAAGTTTCGAGAAGTACGCTTCAATCCATGGCTTGCTCCCAACAATGTCACTCATCATATGGAGAGAATCGCACAGGCTATGACCAACGTCGTCAGGTCGGATCCTAGCAGCAATGAGTTCATCGTTGGTAGCGCCTCATCACCAGAGACCTACATGATAGTTCATTGGGGTTGGCTTACGTTCCCTTGTGTCCTGCTTCTCCTGAGCATTCTTTTTTTGGTGGCCACCATGATCAAGACCTCAAGACACACATACGACGATATCGGCAACTGGAAAACTTCCGCTATGCCAGCTTTGCTATATAGTCTGCCCAAAGACTTTCAGCATGGGCTTGGAGCGCCGGGCACATCAAGGCGTGGCTCGACTAGAAGGTCGAAGAAGATTAGGATCAGACTAATGCCACAACAAGGCTGGAGGGTATCTGGTGCCGTTCAGCCTACACCGACTGCGCCACCCGGCTTTATATAGCTGCAAAGTCTGGCTCGTTGTACGCACATGATAACGATGAAGATTGTCAAAATGTGCGCCAAACTCTGTCTGTGATTTAGTCGTGAGCAACAGCAATGTGAGGCTCGGCACTAATCCCTCATGCAGCCGATATATTCGATTAACAGGGTAACAGCGCAACCTGACAACGAGCCTGGCATGAGCGCGTCTGTGTCGCGACGTCAACTTCGCATGCGCAGTCGGCGTCAAATCGAGCGGTAAATCACCCGGTGTCATTGGCTCACACCGCCAAGCCGCACGCGGGATCAACATGATTAGACATACAAGTCTGCACGACCATGGACTCGCAGCTACCCAGCGCCAAATCAGCGCTCTAACGGCTTTTTCACTCCGCTGGCAGCTTCAGCTTGCACTCCGCGGCTGGATATCTCTAGATTTTTAGTGCGTGCGATCGCCGCATCGAGGAATTGCCGAACCAAACCCCATCCCCGCTGAAAGCTCGGACGGTATGGGGGGTTTATACAAGAGTATGCCACCAATGCGACCATACGTTGTATTCATTTACTGGCCGGCAGTTACTCCTACCACATGTTCCCAATGAGTGAACCATCTAGTTACACATCCGCAATTTCAGAGCACCCGCACAATCACAAAATCACCTGCACGCTTCCCCAACACCAGTTCTCGAGACACCCGCCACAAAATGTCCACACCTTTACACGCAACACACCGCCATCGGTCGATTCCGAAGAGAACGAGAAGAGGCCACTAGATCTTATACAACGCTTGGAGAAGAAACTGGCGGAATACAACGCGTCCCAGAATGTATTCAAGAGATGGCTTTTCGAGATGGTCAGTTGGGTGGTGAGCGCATCTTGCATGGGTGCCATCATTGGTATCTATATATCAATCAGCGGAGAGGAGATGACCAAGAGCGAACAATTCCTCACCATGGCCAACATCTTAGGCAAGGTGGCATCCGCTGCCCTTATCGTACCGACCTCTGAGGCACTCGGACAGCTGAAGTGGCATTGGTTTCACGAGTCCAAGGCGATGTGGGACTTCGAGATCTTTGACAAGGCATCCCGCGGCGCCTGGGGTGCTGCGCTACTCCTATTCCGAACGAAAGGAAGATCACTTGCTGCGTTGGGGGCACTTCTCATCGTGCTACTACTTGCCATCGACACATTCTTCCAGCAAGTGGTAACTTATCCGGATCATTGGGCTATGCAGAACTCTTCCGCTTCGATCCCAGTCGTCAAGCAGTACCGTCCACCTCAACTCAAGCTATACCTCAAAGGTCAAGAACTGTTGACGTACGATGAGTTGACTGCTGCTACCGTTAAGAAGTACTTCTATGGGAACGGCACGCGATCTACACAGCTGGGGCGAGGCATTCGTCCTGAAATTCCCTTGTCGTGCCCTACTAGCAATTGTATTTTCCCAGAGTACGACACTCTTGCAACGTGCAGCAGCTGCGCGGAGGTCTCTCGCAGTCTAAACATTACTCACGCATGTCTCAACACTACGATCGACTGGAGTGCCAACTACCAAGGCCCGATAGATAGTGTTCCATATCCAAACGGGACCGTGTGTGGGTATTTCCTCAACATCACATCGAGTACACCGCTCCTTCTCTCGGGATACGTGGTACAAGAAAATGGAACGACAAACACTACTGGCGAGGCTCTGTTGATGCGCACAGTTCCTCTTAGCGACTTCTGGACTCGAGACCCCTACTACGGTTCGGGTTCCGTCGCCTTTAAAGACATCCGTTATCCGATATATGACGGTCTTATCTCTTCCGCGGCGAATGGTCTTGACAGTGTGTTCCAGCACGAGCCTCCTGTAGTTCACGAATGCGTATTATCGTGGTGTGTTCAACGTATGCGGTCATCTTATGAATCGGGCATATACAGTGAGAGCATTCTCTCAACGCATCTGAACTTAGCGACCGGCCCAGCACCATGGCCTTGGATCGTCACGAAAATGGAGGCTGGTACGGATTTTGTTTACGCACTCAACGTAACTCTCGAGGTGCCATCGCAAAGCTTGCCAGGTTCGACTTTGCCAGGCCCCAACGTTACATATTCAGTCTGGAACGAAACCATCTCCAATGTCAACGCTATCTGGGACGACTTCTTTCCGGCGTCTTACACAACCAATGATTCAGCGACGCAACCTGTACTTAGATTTCAGAATTACGAAGCAGGCCCCTATACCCGGATTCTGGAATTTAATCCCTGGCTAGCACCTAACAACGTCACCCACCATATGGAGAGGCTAGCAACAGACATGACTAACATGATTCGGTCCAACGCTAATAGTAACGAGATGATAGCCGGAAAAGCATACAGTATGGAGAAGTTTGTCCATATTAACTGGCTGTGGCTCATCTTTCCGCTTCTACTACTCTTACTTAGCTTGGTGTTCTTGGTTGCTACTATCGTCAAAACGTCCAAGGACACCGAGACGGGTATATGGAAGACTTCGGCGATGCCAGCATTGATATACAGCCTCCCCAAGGAGACACAGAATAAGCTCAGCCCGGAATCAAAGTGGAACGACGCCCACGAGAGCAGCAGGAAGGTTCGGATCAAACTGCAACCGAACAGGGGCTGGAGAGTCTCTGGCATCAGCCACGTGAGCACTTCACCACAGTTACCACGGCCAGCTGTCCAGGCACCGCGCGGTTGGATATGAAGCGGGGTGTGTATGATATATGACATTGAAATCACTTTAGCGACAGAGCGGAGTTTCCCTGCTGAATGCATGTCGTGAACTCTAGGCGTATGTCAATGTATACTAACCGATCTGAGGCGTGAAGCAAAATGTAATGAATTTATCCAGACGTACCGGATAAGTCGGTGCGGCGAAACCCGGAAAAATCTCTTGATCTATTGCGGCGCGGTCGCAAACCACCACAAACCTACGGCCTGACACCTTGTGTTCCGACGCTTCAGTCTTTGCGTTTCAGCTTGTCTCTTTCATCCTCTAGCCATCATGCTCTGTGTTCTTCCTCCCAATGACCCCACATCTGCGCGTGATGAGCACCTCGTGCGTGCTTGTTCCTTGCATTTCGCGGCGCGTCCACGGCTACAGGGCGGCTATCATCATGATGGTGGCAGTAGTTTGAAGCGCCGCGGGGGGGTAAACCAAAATGAGTACGTTGTGCGAGACCTTGGAAGTCATTGTGGCGTGGGTGTCAGGATCGAGAATATATGTCATGCTGCAATTACCACACTCAGGCTGCATACCGAAAGTACACCACTGTCCAACTTCTCTTTCCATAAGCACGTCGACCTTGAAGAGCATCAATACTTTCTTCGTAGCCATCACGCTGCATATCCTCGACTGCCACCATGTACGGGCACAAGATCCTCCTCTTTACGTCCCTCGTGCTCCCCATCTTCGCCGTACCCCTTCAAGGCTCTACCGTACGTCTCAACCTCCAGTCGCTTATGGAATATACACTAACACCCGTACGAGATTCTGCAGGAGAACGCCGTAGTCGAACGAAGCCATGACCCTGTCGGAGACGCTATCCTTCCCAGCCTACCAAAGCGAGAGCCTGTCATTGACCTGGTGGAGCGGGAAAAGCGTCCTGGTGGTGGTGGCTTTGGTCCTCAAAACAGGTCAATTGAGGAAGTCGAGAAGCGAAAGAATCGTTTCAATGGTGTTGGTTTTGGCGACCCTAGAAGGCGTTCAGACAGCTTCGAGACTAGCATGGAAGATGACGAAGATGAAGCTCGCCCCAAAATTGGAGGCAACAAGAGAGGATTGCAGCGTCCTGATAATGGAGGAGGTGGCTAGAGAAGCTTGACTTCTGGCCGTGCAGAAAGTAAGTGAGCGCACGAGCATCGTTGCTTGTCGGGTAGTAAATGAGTAGTTGCAGTTCCCTTCAGTGTTTTGTTCACGTTACTCCCGAAGCAAAACTGGATGTTCTTAGTTTCTGCTGGAGGAGGCTGGTCTGGCCCTAAGTTAGATATGCGAAGGACGAGAAGAGGTTGTCTGACATTCTACACCCTTGATTTCCTTGTGATGTGGCCTTCAATGCCTTAGCAGTTGCTCTTCATTTGCTACGACTATTCATATGAACGAGATCTATTAAGCTAAGGTGCTTGCCTTAAATCACTTCCTCTTCTGTCGAAGAACAGTAGGTCGTGGAACAATGACTGGCTAACTATAACCCACGATCAATGTTAGACCTTTGAGAGGAGCGCATATTTCTTAGCCAGGCGATACGCATGGAAACCAGATCTACAGAAATACTTTCTAGCAAGCCCTCGGGGCGCTTGAAGTGTGATGAATTGGTGTGATCAAAGTTACTAGGAGCGATGGGATGCATTTCGGTGCGTTCTCGGTCTCGTGTGCCATGCCGCTAAGCGCCATACGTTCCCACTTATGTTGGTGACTGGGTTTCAGCCTGCCGAATTTGGACCAACCATTATGCTCGCTTAGCTCTCTTCCAATCGTTGTATGGATTACCCAAAACAACATGGTATTGCATGCCTAGACATTGCAATATAGCCCGCATCAGCGGCCTCCAATGCGATTATCAGGGTGAGGCGTAGTCGCGATTTGAGGCGCCAATATCCTGGATACACTTATACTTTGTAAGCCTGATTCATAGATAAAGTCATAGGCAACTCCGTTCGCTCTGGCAATAGCTTCATCAACAGCTTCATCAACAGCAGGGCCTCCAAATCTCCTGGGCGTCTAAGTCTCAGATCGATCATCTTCATCCACGCATATATCAACACAAGCATCCAAGATGCGCGTACTCGCAGTCACCGCTTTTCTTTCCTTTTCTCTTGCTGTTCTCGCGGTGCCTGTCGCGAACGCTGAGGTATGTCATCCTGCAGTCATATCACCAAATATTTGCTTACAGTGGTATAGGCAACTCTCATCGAGCCCTTGGAAGCACGCAGCCAGCAAGTTAACCCCGACGTTGGTCCTGTAGGACGGTCGGTAGTTGATGAAGAGGCGCCTATCAAAGCTCGGGGTAGAGTCAATACCAGTACAGGACGACCGAAACGAGAGGCCGAAGCCGTGGCTGAGGCTGGAGTCCTTGAAGCACGCGTGAGGATCGGGAGTAAAACGGGTAACAGTGTACGGGACGCAGATGAAGAACCCATCAAGCGAGATATCGGGTTTCCAGAAGGTGGCTCGACATCAGACTCATCAGACTCAGGTGGCTCGACCGGGATCAAGTTCAACAGCCCTGGTGGTCATCGACGAGATGCGGATGCAGACACCGGCAGCGTCGCTATACCGAAAGAGGCACTGGCCGAACGTGGTAGACTTGTGCTATTGGACCCGACAGACGACTTGGTCGAGCGAGAACGCGGCTCGAACTGGGGTGGAAGCAAGCGCGGCCTTACCCCAAGTCCCGGCGGCAGCTACCGACGTGAAGCTGAGCCGATCAGGATCAGTGGCTCTCGTGGTAGTCACCGACGTGAAGCTGAGCCGATCAGGATTGGTGGTGGTCACCGACGTGAAGCTGAGCCAATCAGGATTGGTGGTGGTCACCGACGTGAAGCTGAGCCAATCAGGATCAGTGGCTCTCGTGGCAGTCACCGACGTGAAGCTGAGCCGATTAGAATCAGCGGCTCTCGTGGTGGTCACCGACGAGAGGCCAAGACCGTTGATCAATCTATGAAGAATGCAGGAGGGGGGCCCAAACGCCGCGATGCTGCTGCCCAGCCTAACAGAATCGGTGGGGGTATAAGTGGCGGTCGACGAGATGCCGATGCAAAGGCCATCGAGGCCCGCCAGAGGATGAGCTCTAGCACTGGTCGCGGCCGCCGAGACGCCATCCCAGGATTCGTTCGTCCAGGTGGAGGGACCCGCCCAAGAGATGTCACCGCAGAGACAGTCGAGGCTCGTACGAGGCTCAGAGGCAACAGCCATCGTGTTTGACCGATGGTGGCTAGAGGGTTTGATCGGAAAACTTCCATTTATTTTGTTGTTGTGAGCTCTTTTTGTACGACAAGATCGGCTCGGATATCTCAAGGACCTGCTGGACATCAGGCGGAAGGTATCCAGCTATCCTGTATCTCTTTTCAACAAAATATACATACCACAATCTACAATGCCTCATCGCTGAACTCAGCACGGTGGCGGTTATTCCCGCGGTTGTCGTGATGTCAGAGGCAAGTAAGACGTTTCCAGAAACCATGCAGCTCATCTTAGGGTTGAGTGTTACATTGTGCTCTTTCACTCTTACTTTGGAGTGGTGGTGCTGCCCGATAGTATTCTCCAACACATGGCTAGTTTGTTCGCATTTACGTCACGGGAGAAGGTTGAATGGGTACATATTGTTTCGAGATTGTTCAGAGACGAGCTATGAGTACATGAAACCGGCATACACCAGTAGTATCAAAGACCAGCGCGCAGCTGATATGGGTTATCGCAGCAGCGATATGAATAGACCACACGAATGCAGTATCGTAGACCAGCAGAGCCAGTATGGTGACCAGCAGAGCCAGTATGGTGACCAGCAGAGCCAGTATGGTGACCAGCAGAGCCAGTATGGTGACCAGCAGAGCCAGTATGGTGACCAGCAGAGCTAGTATCGGGGACTAGACGAATCTAGTATTGTGACTGGTCCGAGACCAGTATCAGACCACTACCAGCGGCAGAACCTCGCTTATTGATGCTGACGCGAGCTTAGCTCCGAGCAGCAGCACCATTCAGAGTATCGAAGGATCCATTGCCCAATTCCTTCGTGGGGTCAAATGTCTTCGCCGAACTATCTGTGCGTTCGAAGGCGTCGAAGTGGAGTCGAATTGTCGGATTCGACATATTCTGTGCTAAAGCTTGGTGTCTTTGGTCGATGGAGCCGTCCTATAGGCGCCGGCTGGCAGCCTAGCAGCTTCATACTGCGACTTCAATTGAACATCTCGGGAAAGCGGATCGACCAGGGACGGATCAAGGTTCCGGCTTGATGAATTGGCTATTGGATGGAACTTTTGTCGAAGTCTGGCCAGGTTGCGTACTGCTCTGCTGCAGAGGCGAAGTCTGGTTGTGCTCATTCGCAGGCATGTTCGCACGATTGCCGATCAAAATAGAAGCTGACGCTTGCTGTAAGATCTCTGCGATCTGCTCACGCACTATCGAGGTGATCAGGGCTCGGAGTTCTGGCGTATCGAGGGGAGTGCCAGTAGTCGTATTCGAAACAGGTCCGCTGGCTTGTTGTGCAAGGTACTCGTTCACCTTTCGCTCGGCTTCCATATAGATGTTGTGCGAATCCTCGAATTCGTTGACTTGATCGACTTGCAAAGAATACAAAGGAATAAGCTCTTCACCATTTCTGATTATCTCAAAGGTTGTGTCACGATAGTCGCGCGCGAGTTCCATAGCCATATCGTAGTCAATCTTGTTGAGTGCATTGGGAGTGTAAACTATCTGAATTAGTATTCCGTTTTTACTGAAAGAACGAGCTGACTGACATTTCCTCTTCTTTCGCGACTCCGTCCCCATTGAGTCCTGCGCATTGTACGCTCCGTATCGCGTATTACTGCTGGTTTGGTGAGAGTAGGAATAAGCTCCGCCACGTTGCGAATTGTTGGCGAATTGGCTCGGATTGGCATGTTGGTTCGGATTGGCGTATTGGTTCGAATTGGCGTGTTGGTTCGAATTGGCATATTGGTTCGGATTGTTTTGATAAGGGCTATTGTGGCCCCGGTTGGGATAGTTGTTTTGGAAACCGAAGTTTCCGCGACCGGCCATTTCACTATACAGGTCAGCGCTCGTCTGCGAAAACGGAATGTGGGGGTTGCTTACGTTTTGTGTGAAAAGACAGGGAGTTGGAGAGGACGAGGAAGTTGCGATGAGATATACAGCTCTGCCTGCGCTAGTGCTAGCGTAGGCAGTCGTGCCAAGGCCAGGCGTGGACGCTCGTGGAAAGAGGTGAAGGAGCGGAAGGAGCGACCTGATGAAATCTATGAGAGAAAAAACACGTCTCTGCGATATTGATACTGATGCGAGGCTTACACAGATAAAACTGTTTAGCCCTTTCGCCCATGCGGTCTTTGGACGGGGTCGGTATCTGGAAGAAGACAGTGGGAGACACGAAAAGTCGCTTACAATCGTGAGCCGCATCCTTGAATAGGATACGGTACGTGTTGGGCACTCGTTTAGCATAAGGGTACAAAATTAGTTTCAACTGTATACTAGTTCGAAAGGACTTCCACGATATTGTCCCAGAAACCCAAGTCATACACGTTTTCCACTGCCGCGAGGTTCCACACCCGCTCAAAGCTATCTTCTCTAGCTACTGACTGTATGCGGCTCGGGAGTGTTTTGGGCGGTTGTCCAGTTCGCGTGCGGATGAGAATGTGTCTGCTTTCCAGCGGCCAGGTCGTTAGCGGCTCTTCGTCTTCTGGCGGGGTTTCCGGAGGAGTCGGGAAGGGTGACGTTGACGAAGAAGAATGTGCGGAGGCATGTATGTGTTGCCGTATAGGTGCTGCTGAGCGATATTCCTGCATGGTATCCTCCCGCCTATGGCCTAGGAAAACGACGCCATCGGCCATGTCGTCTCGCCAGTCCGCCCACTTGGCGCTCTCGTTCGTAGTCATGCCGGCCCAGATCAGGTAGACGTGGTATGCGAGCAGACCCAACGGAAGCGGCCATGTGAGAAGAGCCAGTAGTCCAACTCCAGATCCGCGCACACCGCCCATGTCGAGGTAGATGGTTGCGTAGATGAGAAAGTAGTGGGTCTTCCTGTCAAAGTATCCAAACCAGCTCTTTGCGTTTACGCCTTGCTTGGGGCTGTATCTGTACCATCCTTCGTACTTCAGGTAGTGTCTGTGGACCAACGGCGAAAGGCTGTAGTAAGCCAGGTATGCGCCGTACGCGATCAGTATGCCCGTGGATAGCAGCAGGGCTAAGAACCACTTGTAGTTGCCCCGCCCTAGGCAATTGTTGACCCATATGCAATGATGGTCCATCCTCGACACGCATGTCTTGCATATGCTGCAATGCTTGCTCCGCGCTGGCTTTAGGAACTTGCACGTCCGGCATGGCGTGCCTGGATAGTACAGCACCCTGTCGTATGGGTAGTGTCGCATCTGCTGGGCATGATTGAGCGTGGTGATGTATGTCTGGCTGTTGCTTTTCGCGCTGAGATATAGGAAGATGTACGGCTGCGGCAGCAGAACGAAGGCTAAGAGCTTGTGATGCGGTCGGATGAGGTGCCAAACGGTGGGCAGGAACAACGTCGCGCATGCGGTTACGAGGCCGAGGAAGAAGATGACGACCAGCGGGTGCTTGTCGTGCATGAGGTAGTTGCCCAAGCGAGCGCCGCCATTGGTGATGCGGCCATTGGTGAGGGCGAGGTCGAGCTTTCGGAAGGTGGAAGGGATGTGGATGAGGAAGAGGCGGTTAAGGAAGCCTATGGGAGTGTTTCTGGGAATGTTAGAATGGATGATGCGAGCAGGAGGAACGTAGATACCTGAAAGCCGGCAGTCGTCCGAAGAAAGCTACAAAAGTCACCAGCGACACTGTGATGGTGAAGATGATGATGGTGCGGGCGACGGTCATGGTGAAAGAGACCAGCAGGCTGCGACACTACGCATGGCGGAACAGAATGAAGACGCGGATCGAAGCTCTATGGCATCACGTCGCGCTCTGTCTGTCAGTTCACAGAGGTGACAGCGCAAGCGTCGGATAGGGCTGAGCAGCCGCGGAGGCTAAGCGACCCCGCGTGAATCATGCGTCCCATGTGAGCACGCGTCGCGCCTGAGCCAACGCGTCATTCACCACCACCATAACCCGACAACACCACCCCACCATGGCTGGGCCGACCGTATACACCGACGTCGCCGAGGATTTTGATTTCGCATCGGGCGGCCAATTATTCGCCGGCAAAAAGTTCTGGGTCGCGCAGCGCGTGGCGTCGCGCAAACGGCTGCTGGACGACATCAAGGCCAACGGTGGAGAGATCGTTGCATTGGAGAAGAAGGCGGACTACCTCATCGTCGACCACGCTCGGAGAGACTGCCCTCCCGGATCAACATCGTATGAATTCATAGAAAAGTCCATCAAGGAGGGAGAACTCCAAGATCCCGAAGACTACACAGCCGGACCGCCGTCAGGTGAGGCGCGAGAGGCTGGTTCCATCCACCAGCCCACGAAGAGCGGAAGGACAGCGTACACAGCAGAGGAAGATAGGACACTCTCCAAATGGGTGCGAGACGCCCAATCAAAAGGCGCTTCCGTCAGTGGGAACGAGCTATACAAGCAGCTCGAAGCCAAGGTATGCGCCAACAAAGAAAACGCGCGTGGGAGTGGTCGCTAACGAACGACAGTACCCACGGCATACATGGCAGTCATGGCGCGACCGATGGGTCAAGACACTTAGCAAACGTCCGCTCTCGGCCTTCACAATACCTGATAACGCTCCTCCGTCTCCTCCTTCCGATCAGTCGAACGAACGTATGCCCCCAGTTCCAGCCCCCTCCAAGCCTACAGAACAGCAAACACCTAAAACAGAACAGGCTCCGAGTGCGACCAATCTCGATAACAAGGGCAAAGCAAAAGCAAACCGCGACTATAGTGTGGAAGAGTTAGAAGTTATGTTCAGCACAGACGACTGGCTGGAGTGCTATGCTTTTGTACCGATCATCGATGGCGTGGAAGGACAAGACGACTGGATCTCAGCTTGGGATGGGTGGGCTGAGAATCAGGGGAACCAAACTGCCGAGCAGTGGCGGCAGTATTACGAGAAGGTAGTCCGTCCACAGTGGTTGCGCGATCCGGTATCAAAAAGGGACAAGATCAGGAAGAAGATGGAACAAAAGCACGATGCCGCAAACGCAAGGCGGAGTCAGGCGCTCAGTCAGCATCCAGCAGAGATCGAGAAACCAGACGAAATACTGTCACAACCTTCTCCAACAACACGAAATAGAGTGGAGCCG